TTTACTGAAGCTTATTTCGTGTGAGCGTGCTATAAAGTTACCGGACGACGCTCGTGCCGGCGTGGTCCAAGTGTGTTGCTGGTGTGTTGCTGTGTGCCCGCCCCTGTCCGCGGTCCAACGATCCTTTGGCCGGTCGGTCGGGGTGGGTCGGTCGGTCGATCACTGAGTGCCAGTGTCGCGGCACCGGGTGTCGGGAAAGAGAGAGAAAGAGAGAGAGAGAGAGAGAGAGAGAGAGAGAGAGAGAGAGAGAGAGAGAGAGAGAGAGAGAGAGAGAGAGAGAGAGAGAGAGAGAGAGAGAGAGACGTGTTTTCCTTGGACGGCAGCTGCAATCAGTCGCAGCTGTTGGTTTGTGTGTCTGTCTGCAGCGATCCATCACCAGTCGGCCTGTTCTCCGCCGAACATGACCGCTGGATGACCTTTGGATGACCTCTGGCTGGCCTAGCTCTCGCCGCTGTGACCGCTGCGGTTAGAACAGTCGCGGTCAGGTCAGGTCAGGTCACAATGTTACACTTTCCGTCCGGCCCCGACACCCTGTGGGCGGAAGAGCGGCATGCCAACGACCGTCGTCCGCTCCATCCGTCACGGCACCGCCCAAACCCTCCCGGTCGTCGCCGCACGCGCCCCACGTCTCCAAGGCCGACGGGCCAATTTGTCCAATTACTATAATCGGCGACGGTCGCCCGGCCCATCTGTTAGCATCGCGGCTTTAAATCAGAAACCATCGATTGCCTAGTAATGGCTGTTCGCGCCGACAGTGATAAATTCATACGCATACGTCGTCGATTTCTCAGGCGTGCCGATGTTTGACGTGGCGATTTATTCAGGCGGCGTGTGAATTGGATGTTTCGCACTTTGATTTCTTTTCGGGTAGGTGAAGCGGTCTTACCTCTGGTAGCAAGCCATCGAATGGCTCCAGCTTTCCAGCTTAGCTTAGCGCCCGGCATGGCTTAGCTTATACCTCTGTAGCTTGCTTAGAGACGAGCAGTAGCTCTTCAGATTGGCTTGGAGCTTAGCTTAGCTCTCAAGCATAGCTTAGTACCTTAGCTGTGAGCTGGTCGGACCTCGGTGTTATGCCATCTCATGCCGTCGCCACAGCCGCTGTTTCCCGGTGGTCCGCGTCTCTAGCTCCCGGTTGGATGATGGTGCCAGCCGTGGCGACCATCACTCACCTGCGCCGCGGCTCTGCCGGCGTCGGCCGCCCACGTCCCAGGGCGGCTCTGAGTGCGTCCGCAGCCGGCGGCGCTCCGCCGTCAGATCTCGCCGGACCTCTGCCGGCGGGCGGGTGCCGCCGCCGGTGACGGCCCCGTTTATTATTGGCCTGCTCTCGCCGTCGATCTCAGACCCTCTCACGCGATCTGTCTGGGCGGGGGCGGGGGCGGCTGGACTGACGCCGCCCGCAGCTTCACTGCACCTAGCACCACCTCTGACCTCTAACCGCGGCGGTCAGCCGAAGCCCGGGGGTGGTGTCAGCGGTCAGCAGGTACCCGAGCCAGCCCGGCGGCGGCTCGGGCTAGGATCGTCTCGGGTCAGCCGTTATCGATTGCCGGCCCGGCTGGCCGACGCTCTCTGCCGGCGCCGGCCGACGGGCGAGACAGACCGACGCCGGGCCGCCGAGCAGCGTCACGGCTGCGGAGACGGACGGGCCTCACATCTCGTCATGTCACGGGCCTCTCAGTGAACGGATGGCCGGCTGTGGGGCGAAGCGAACCTCGCAGTTTCATGGCTCGGTCGAGCTCGCGTGCGCTGCCGCTGCCGCTGGCGTAGCTGAGCCATTTGGCCGGTTAGCGTGTCTGGCAGTGCACGTGCCGGGAGGGCGCAGCACGGGGCTGTCCGACCGCCGTGCACCTGGATACTCAGGTCCGGCTACACGGGGGCTGGCGTGACCAACGGGCTAGTCGGCAGAGCGGCTGCTGAATGAAAGGGCTACGGACCACGGACGACCGAACACCAACCATCGTCCGCCGTTCACCGACCAGTGACCACCACTCACCTTCTATCGTCTGATGTCCACTGTCTACTGTCCACTGTCCAACCAACCACCATCCACCGTCCACTGTCCACCGTCCTCCGTACACTGTCTACCGTCCACTGTCCACCGTCCACTGTCCACTGTCAATCGACCACCGTCCATTGCCCACTGCCCACTGTCCACCGGCCACCGACTACACCTTTTTGCGTTGTTCGATGGCCAATCGTCATAACCATTTCGGCATCAGTTTGGACAAGCGTCATTCAGAATAACCCATCGGCGATGTGCATCACTGTTTGACGGTCGGCAAAACAGGCTGGACTCCATTTAACCATTCTGCATAACTCTTTGTCATTGAGCACAATGTTCGTCATAGGCAAAACACTTTGTCAGATTGTCATAATGCTTCGACATTTCACAAAATGGTTAGTCGATGTGCAAAATTCATCGGTACTGTGCGTAAACAATGACTGTTGATTTAAAACTTTCGTCAATGATCAAAATGTCAATGATGTAGTGCTTATCTAGCCATATTCAATGTTTAACGTTAATCACGCATTCAGGGATGAGGCTTATGACAGTTCCAGCGCAATTTGCAACCAATTAACCATTGGATTCCCGATTCCGAAAAAGGCAGTTATACGATAGCTACGAGGAGACTGCCGGCGCCATACCGAGTAGGCATGTAGATTCTTGAGCGTCGGACTCCAAGCGCTTCGATACAAACCACGAAGTCGGCCGTCATTATCGCGTCACTGCCCGTGCGATGTCATGGGACAACGCCTCGGGCGGCCGCGCCGGTCGGACTCGCGAGCATGGGTGGAGAATGTTTGAAAAAGTTACCCCGGCCGGCGACCGATAGTCGCGGGAAGACGATATACTCACGTTGTTCTCAACGGTCATCATCAAACCCCTATTCTGACGCATGGAATAGGATGCTGTGTTTGCTCAAGGATGAGCGTTGTATCCGACACCGTATTATTCAGAACATTTTTGGAATGATCGAAAAGGCAATTTCCTTTTAAATTATTATTTCTTTTTGCTTAAACTTGCAATTTCACACCGAACCCAAACCAAACCATATGCCATTTTGAGTACCTACCTAAATGTTGCGTTTTCAGCTTTTATTGTGTCTCAAAATAGCTACAAAAAGACAACTCACCATAGTAGAAGCTTTACAGAGAAATTGACAGATCGAACCAAGCAAAGCACTAAAATAGGTCACTGACATCCACGGGCGTAGCCTTTTTCAATGTTGGGCGGCTCTTATAATACAAACAGGGAGTCGATCCAGGAATATCGACCGGTCCCGGTCTCGTAGCTCAGTTGCTAGAGCGTTGGATTCCGCGTGGCGAGAGCACGCGGCCCGGTTACAACAGTCCGAGTTCGAAGCATGATGGCCGCTCGGTGTTTATGAGCACCCTGACGGGTACGCTCATAAACGGGTGTCGTTGCGGTTGGTGGCAGGTCAGTTGTTAAGGCAATGAGGTCAAGCAGTAGTTTTGAAAAAGTGCGCCGAAGGCGCGCCAAAATTTCGAAACTGAACAGGATTTGAGAGCAATCTTGGCATTGGCGACCACACGCGGGTCTTAGGGTTGGAGATTATGGCAAGTTAAGTAACTGGTAAATACCTACCTGATTTGCAATATTACGCCCATGGAAGTCAACATTCGAAGAGCGTGAGTTTTCTTTTCTCGTATGGAGACAGCTTTTAGGATTTACAAGAGTAGAAAAGTTACCCCGGCCGCGCCGGGGTAGGCTGAAAGTTACCCCGGCCACGGCCGGGGTGGCCGGGGCAGGTTCTCCACCCATGCTCGCGAGGGAATGGCTGACAGGTGGCGAGCCGGGCCCTGCCGGCCGGACACCTTGGTGTTTGGGGCGGGGCTGACAGTTATCCAGCCTGTTGCCTGTTTCTTGGTGTTTGAGGCGGGGTTAACTTATCCAGCCTGTTGCTCTGTTCCCTGTCCATTTTTCAATCAGCCGATAACATGTCAGCTATCGTCCATCTACATTGTACCTATGGCGCTCATGAACGCTACCGTTTTTTATGCGGATCAATGGTCTACGAGTTTCGCCACCTATGCCTCGCACTGCACTGTATAAACGTGGTCATATTTTTACTTCTCTGTAAAGGGGCGATCTGTTTTTAGTTTTGACGAAATGTTATGAGGAATGCCGAAATTAGCATGGGGATGTTTTGGTGAACGACGAAGGGATATTAACGACTGACGAAGCATTTATCCAAATCGTCAAAGGTTTTGCCGGAACTCAATCAGTTATGGCGAATAGCGAATGTTCTACCAACTGACGAACTGTGGAGTGGGATCAGCATTCCGTTTTGCCCATATGCTGAAGGTTTTGCCGGTATGCCTCTCACTGGCGCCACCTATGTGCTGATCGGACGAATGGGTTTTGCTGATTGGCCATCGAACAACGCAAAAAGGTGTACTGACCACTGTCCACTGTTCAGTGTCCACCGACTACCGACCACTGTCCACTATCCAGTGTCCACGGTTTCCACCGTCCACCGTCTGACTATCGACCGTCGTAATATATCGTCCGCCGCCAAGTGACCGCTTCCTTTGCTCTTGAGTGGTTTTCGGAGCTAAGCGGCATACTATCTCACGTTTCTGACCGGCCGGGGAAATTGCCTGTTGGGGCGGCCACTGAGAATGTGGAACGCTTAGTGAACCATCGTGCCCAGGCTGAATTCATCCGGTTATGGACCATGCTGTTCATTATGGTGCTCGGAAAAGAACGGCACTATAAAGCATTTGATAAATCGTTTTGTGCATTGTTGGCATGAGCAGTGAGCTCACTGTTATTAAACCTAATAAATTTCTGTGATTCTTCATGGCTGGGACTTGAGAGTGGTTCTTGCAGGCATACGAATGCCAGGCATACGAATGCTACTACTACGATTTCATGTTTGAATGCGACTGATCATCGCTGCAGCCTGACATTGCGAACTGCTGAGAAACTCAGTTGTAGCGAAGCCTGCCCACTGACAGCCCTCCCTTATCGTTCCCAGGGAGCTGAACATGAACGACAGCCCGCTGCCGCCGGAGCCACCGGACGGGGACGGTGGGGGCGGTCCGCCCAGCTACCTGGAGCTGCTCTCCAGCTCGCGCCAGTCGCCCCAGCAGCAGGGCGCCGCCGGTGGCAGCAGCACGGCTGGCAGCGGCGGCGGCAGCGAGATCTCTGAGGAGCGGCTCACCGAGGTGCTCGAGGAGCCCGTCACCGAGGAACTGGTGAGTACCTGTGGTTAGTCTTGACGACCGGTGAAGATCAGTGGTCAGCGCTGACTGGGACCAGTGCTGACTGCTGGCCTAGGATCGGTGGTCGGTGCTGGTCGGAAACTTGTGCTGGTCCAAGACCGGTGGACATTACCACTCGAAGGTGTCGGGTAGGCCAAATAGCTCCCGTTGGTGGGCTGCAGTCAGAAGCCGCGCTCCACGGCTGTCAGTCTTCGTTCAGTCTCTTTCAAACGAATTTTCCAGCGTTTGCCTCATCTGCACTCCAGCCCTGCCCACACATGCCACGGCATGGCACCCCAGCGTCTTCTAGCTTACCTTGCAGTTCTGTTCCAGCCCCTCATGCTATAGCCCCGCCCCAGCCCTGCCACTCTCCATCCCAGATCCCACCTGCCCGACTGTCGGCAGCGCTGCACCTCCTGCGCCGTGGGATCCGCCCGGGGCCAGCGCTTTTTCCGTGGCCGTCGGCTGGGCTGTGGCCGGATTACCGATTCAAATTGGTCCGATGGCGGCGGGCGCCGCGCGGAGTGATGGCTCTGGCCGGGGGCGGCGGGCGGCGCTAGCTGCCGTCTCCATCAGTGCCGCCCCCGCCCCCGCCCCCGCCGCGGCCGGTCTCACCTGTCCGGGGCCCTCGGAGACCTGGGAAAACCGCCCACGTGGCAGGGCTCCGACCGTCGACCGGCCTCCGCTGGGATGCCCCCGACGCAACGCAGCTACAGAGCAGAGGCAGCCGACAGGCGCGGCAAACAAGACTAGAGGCAGGCCGTGGAGCCCCTGCCGCTACTTACGGCAACTTTGTGTTGAAACAGTCACCGACCGGAGCTAGCTTAATTGAAGTGGTTCATTTACACTTGGAATTAACCTGTACTCAATCTCGTCAAGTGGCGTGACTAAGATTTGCCAGAATTGGCTGAAGTTTTGCTTCGGTAAACTGCCTTTGAATGCACAAGGTTTTGCTTGCATGAAGTCCATCGTTGATAGTATCCTCACGCTGCCAGGAATCGGTCCATTAATGCGAATGCATACTTGTGGTTGCCAACACCAGTACAATTATACATACAGTTGCATAATGACGTGCTTAACAAGTAGTGCTACTAACGAATGGGCCCAGGTGTTGGTTTTACGTTGAATTTAGTGCATGCGATTGCAATATGAAGATTTTTGCGGCTCTGCTAACCGATCTCATGAATTCTCGCTATTGACCGCACTGATGCTAACCTCAGAGCTGACCACCAAGTCCATGACAGCTTCATAAAATAAAAGCCGCTCTTTAGTCTTCAGTACCTATCTCCGAGACCTGTCAATTTATGGCGTGACTTGATGAAGACCTCGAGCGGCATGATTTCATACTGGCGACCACGATACCGACGTAAATGAGCTGTGCTTGTTTTTGTCGCGGTCCAAATGGCCCATTTCGGTGAATGCCTCGGTACGGTCCATCTGGGCTGAGGTTTTAAGCCGTCGGGCGGCGGTGACAGCTCTCCCGGGACGGTGACGGACGGCCCCACGGTTCGTGGTGGCATGTCGGGACCGCGGAGTGGGGACCGGTGTTTACTGAGGACGGACAGGACAAGACGGACAGGACAGGGGGCCCGGGACAGTGGGGATGGGATGGGGAGGGGACACTGAGTCCGCCGCGCCCGGGTCGGGACAGTCGAGACGGGGTTTGGGGAGGGTGCACAGGGTTCAGGGCACAGGGTCTAGCGCACACGGGTCGCTCGGGACAATCGAGACGGGATGGGGTAGGTGTAGTAGGGGGGGGGGGCAGAGGCAGGGACCAGGTACGGGTGGGGCGGGGTCGGGTGCAGTTAGCGGTACCTGATCCGGACGCCAACCCTTCCGTGTTTGTCCGTTCGACCACGGAGAATCTCAGTGATTGGATATGATGTGGCCGTGCCCGGGTCTGATTCACCGCCTCAGACGGCGCCGGACGAGCGGACGGGTTACGAGAACGGCACCTGACCGGTCCGGCCCACGCGGCCACAGTCTGCCGTCGGACAGGTCGACCGGCCGTCTCAGTTCCGCGTTCTGGGCGTATGCGGAATAGGGCGGCGCGGACTGGATTTGCACCGTCGAAAGGTCAGAGGAGAGGCTTTTCTCCTGGCAGTCGGCTGGGGATTCTACCGTCTGCCTACAGTCAGCACCTCTGATTCTACCGTCTACAGTCGCACCATGCTGACTGTAGCACCAAAACGCGACTTTCCGGGGTCGACAATGCGTTGCCATGCCTTCCGGCCAGCGACCCCGCCGACACCGCGCTCCCTTCTCAGGTAGAATTATCACCTGTCAGGCGTGGCAGACCGGGCTGGCGCCGGCTCCGGGCACTCCGGGCGGGGTCCGGGCGCTCCGGGCGCGCCGACCGGCGTGTCACGTCCGGGCGGTATCGGCTCCCTTCCCCTCCTTGTGCCGCGCCCGCCGAGCAGACAAAAACGCACCGCGCTACGCCAACACCGCGGGACACGCAGGGGAGGAGGGGAGGCGTGACGGCCCGGCGGGGAGGGAGGGAGGATTGGAGGGAGGATTGGCTGCGGCTCGCCACTCTGTCGGGGAGGAAGGAAGGCGCCCGCACGCCGCCGCGGCACGTCCCTGGGAGCGCGGCGCCGGCGCGCGGTGTTGGCCGGTCGGCCGTCTCTGGGGGCGTCTCTCCGGCGGCGGTAACCGGGTGTCGGCTGGCCGCGAATCGATACAGAGTCGACCGCCGCAGGCCGCTGCTACCGCGGCTGACACCATCGCTACCGCGCCGCTACCATCGCCGCTATACCAAAGCTGCCTTCATTGCCGCTTCCGTTGCTACCGATCGGACTGCAGAAAGTTCACCGTCTTGTAACCACCGCCAACCCCGACCTGCTCTGCTGTGATGCAAGCCCCTGCCGCCTTCTGCCCGCTTTGCCGCCACCAACCATTGACTATTAGGGCCTTTCTGTAAGTTGCGGCCGCCGCGCCGCCCAACTTCGCACCCCGTGGGCGGTCGATGATGGTTCACCCATCCTGAACATGCCAAAACTTTGGACGTAAATTGAAGCGGCCTTGAATTTGATCCCGGCGGCTGGCGACTTTATCGGCCCGTTAGTGCCGGTATCAATTGGCCGGAATGTTTTGCTGACGGCGGCGCGGCGCGGCGCGGACAGCTGGGGTACAGACGGGCTGAGGGTTGGAGCGCCGCCCGGCGCCCGCCCGGTGCGCCGGCAGAGGTGGCACCTCTGTTTACCAGCCGGATGATTTCCGCACGCCGCTGTTTGATGACATTCGAGCGGCACCGGTGTGTGGTAAACATGTCAGAGCGTCTCCCGGCGCGCCTCGCCCGGACGGCCGGATATTTGCTCTCGCCGACCACAAAGGCACGCGGCGGCCCTTGACGCCTCTCGTCACCGCCTCGTCTCGGAGCTCCAAAACACTCTGCGTCGCTGAGGGAGCGCCTTGTGAGCCGCCGTCGGGGACTGGCGGGCTGTGCTCGGCTGAGAAACAGTACACTGCACAGTGCGACAACTCACAACAGCGCGGCAGCGATCTCACGCCCTCCGTCTAACCGGCAGTCCAGGCCCCGGCGCCAGTCCCCGACGGTCATACCAGCGGTCAGCGGCGGTCATTACGCGAGGTCACGCGTCACGCGGCCGGCCGTGACGGTGGTCACGGCGCGCCGTCCGCACGGGTCACACTGCGGTCCAGGTAACGGGGACCGTGAGAGTCGCCGGTGGAAATCGCCGTCTGCGGCGCGGCGGCCGCCCGGCGCGGGTCCCATGGGGTCGCCAGCGGTCCCAGGCAGACACGGCACGAATTCTCAGTGGTCCCAGGCAGAACTCACGGGTAACTAAAGGTTTCATTTTAGGCTCACGAGTTGCCATTTGTTTGGCCTCGGACGGAACTCACGAGTTGCTAGTGGTCTCAGGTAGAACTCATGAGTCGCCAGTGCAGTGGTCCCAGTCGGAGCTCACGAGTCAGTGTCCTGCAGTCTGAGCTCACGATTCGAAATTGGTCCCAGTTTGAGGTCATGAGTCGCTATTGGTTTATGAAGGGTCCAGTGGGCTCACTAGTCTCCAGTTGGGCTCATTAGGAGCATCCATTTGTCGGTGCTTCAAGAGCGGTCAGGACAGCCCATGGGTCTGTGGTCGGTCGTCAGTGTTTATACTCCAGTGAGATGGATGAGTGACCGCTCGCCGGCGGACCGCTACCATAGCTCATTCCGCCGGGACGCTGTCACTCTGGTCAGTAACTGACGAACAAAGCCAGCCGGCGCCGGTAGTGGCCATGGGCCGTGGTTAGCGCAGTGGACACAGTCGACGGACCCCGACGGCGCCCCCTCCTCACCCGGCTGCACAACAGACGATCTCAATCAACTCCGCCGCTACAAAATGAACATTTTGCAGGCTGCATCCCAGGGCCAGGCACGACTGCGGTTGTCTGTTTGTCTGATACTATCTGCTGTCTCGATTGTTGTGTGTCGGTGACGGGCGATGCGGCTCAGGAGCGATGCTTATTGTCTACGGCGCGTGTCTTTACGGGCCCGATGACACATGGACCGGTGACTGGGTCTGGCGACCCCTGAGACCCCGCCCTGGTGACAGAGGGGGCTGCTGTAACTGCTGACAGGCTCTGTACTCACCGAAAGACGCCGCTCCCGGGCGGGGTACGGACGGTGTCAACAGCCCCCGTGCACGGCCTGCTGCCATCAGTCACCTCCTCAACTCTCTCCCCCTCCCCAACCCTCTCCCTCTCGCCGCCGCGCCTGCAGGGTGACGAAACCTGCAACACGACTTTCGGGGAGTTTATAAGCCGCGGCTCCAAACAAAATAATGAACGGAGTAAGGTAAATGTTTGGGTCATGACTTTGGCGGACCGCTGGCTAGAACTCGTAACATAAATATTTATATCGTGATGTATTTAACGGCGTCGGCTCTCAGTCTGAGAGTAGGCATGATGTCGGTGAAGGGCATCTCGTCTCCATCTCGCCTCCGTGAAGGTGTCATCAGATTTACTCTGCACCGAGAGCCCCAGCGGTC